TATTAAGTTTGGCTTTTAAAGTAACATACATAGCTAAAAGCCTGTCTGTATACTTGATTATACTTGAAATATTTTTGTATATAATCAGTAATCTGGTAATCAGTTAAGAGAAAAAAATGCAGCTATGTTTGCCAGAATAATTCTATAATAATACAGTAAAAATGTGAACATATTTACAGAACAACCTGTAAATATTACTGTTTACAAAACAACAAAAACAGCAACAAAAACATTTTAATCTGGTAAATTCTAGCCTTTTCTGCTGAAAGGTCAAGGCCAAGCTGCTGCTAATATCTGGTTTGTACCTTTTAACATATACTGACAACCACTTCAATAACACAGTTAGTAAAGAAAAAGCCACAGTAAGAAGCAAAGTTCATTTCAAATAACCTTTAAGCTGAGGTAAATAATAATATATAGGCTGTGGTGCGCACAGTGTCATACACACAAACACAAAACACCATCACGGTAACATATTGCGCAAAAATAATGCAATAAACATTCACTACACAACATGAGTTGTAACATATAATCCTAATATACATAACTGATAACAAAACGATCACAAAACACAATAATTTAAACAAAATACCATCAAATGTGAAGTGTCACCCAGAGAATTCTAGGAATGTCATTTAGCAGGTTTTCACTCTAAATTATAAGATGACTTTACTTATTTTCTTTTTTCTTCCAAAAATTGTACATTCATCAGTATTTTGCTGTAAAATTACATTAAATGTAAGGTTAAAGCTATTGCACTTTTCCCCTGTATAGTAAGAGAACTTACCGTTACCAATTAAAGGTTTCTTACTGTAGCATGTTTACTGTGTAGATTCACGTCTTTTATGTCACTTAGCAGTGAACACATAATAAAATAATTTCAACAGGAATTTAGTGTCCATTTATTTATTTGGATAGTAGTTCAATAAAAATGAGAATAATGTCAGTCTGTCTATCATAATACCAAAGCAACCCCGCACAGGTCGATCAGGGCCCTGAAGGGAACTGTACAGGCTGAATGTACTTTCTCCCTTACATATACAATACAAAGTTGAGCAGCTGAAACAGAAATATAAGACGTTAAGTGGGTCATCCAATACAATTCCACCCACTTTCCATTACGCTCTTACAATGCCATTAAATCTTTATATACTTCTGTCCCAGTTTCCTTTTAACCACAATCTAAAAATCATTTTATGGACCTACTTTCCAGAGTTTCAAGACTGTCTTTGGATTACCCAATCACATGTCAGAATTCTGGGTCAGAGTGCCTTGTCCTGTGTCAAATGACTGCCCCTGCACAAAACAGAAGATGGCAAGGGCAATAAACCCGCAACCCCCCACGTTTTTTTTTTTTTCAAAGAAAGAAAGGCTGTGAACAGTTAAGTGAAAATGCAATGAATCACTTAAAAATAGTCTCTGGGAAGGTAATAGATAAGTTCATGTTATATGGAACTTGGTATATGTAAAGTTACTTTTTGTTGACTTATATGTATAAAGTAATTGTTGACTGACAGGTTAATATTTGTACTTCTTTTTAAGTGGTGTTAACAGAACTTAGATCTTGAAATTAACAAAAGAAATAGAGGACAGTGAAGTTGATAGTGACATAAAAAGTCAATATCACTGAGAAGATATTTAGGAGTATTTCCTGATTAACGTTAGGAGCGTGTTTTGGCCAATGAGATTTCACAATGGGCGGGGCTACCCAGCAAGACTGCAAAAGGGACAAAACTCATAATGAGCATGCAAACTGACAGAAAATGTTGCTGTAACCCAGACAGTATGAACAGTTAAAAACTCAGGTGCTAAAAGTGCTCTGAAGTACTCCACGATATTCTCTAAAGTCAGTGAGAGCATCTGCTCTGATTCCCCTGTGTTCAGTCCCTTGAGTGGTTAGATAAGAGCGTGCTCTTGGCACTGCTTGGTCTGCTTCAGGGTGTTCAATCCAGGTTAATATTAGATACAAGTAAAGGTGTGAATAAATCATTAAATACATAAATAAATGAGTGAATGAAAATGGACCCGAAACACTCAATTATTACTTTATAACTAACATTATAAATGGACCTAAGGAAAATGTGATGAAAATCCATTACACAGCACAAAAACAACAGGAAGCAAATTAGCTCTGACAGAAATTTGGATATCTATGATTCTCAGAAATGTATAGTCCTTTTATATTCTGTACCTTCACCAAGCAGACCAGTTTGTCCACTTCTCTTGATAAAGTTGGAGAAGCAGTTTTGTTTGCTCTACAGACATCAAACATTGCAGTAACAGCTGAGTATCCACCATGCAGTCATTTATAGGTTATATAATGTTCTGGACTCCATCTGTGCTCTAGACTAGAGAACAATACAAAAGACTTTAAAATTACGTGCTGTTTGTACTGTATTTTTGTGTAATTGCAAAAGCATTTTTAGAATATTTATTATATTTTTGTTTCTAGCTTGATTTTTAAAGTGAACGCATTTAATATGAACAAAGGTAACATTTATTATTCTTTTGCATTTACGTCCATGTGCTAATTACAACCATTAGGGTTAGACCAGGGGTGCCCAAACTTGGTCCTGGAGGGCCGGTGTCCTGCAGAGTTTAGCTCCAAATTGCCTCAACATGCCTGCCTTTAAGTTTCTAGTATGCCTAGTAAGAGCTTGATTAGCTATTTCAGGTGTGTTTAATTGGGGTTGGAGCTAAACTCTTCAGGACACCGGCCCTCCAGGACCGAGTTTGTACACCCCTGGGTTAGACAATAACAAGCAATGAATGAAAAATTGCAAATAGTCCTTTCACAATACTTTTCTAGACCATGCACTACTGTAACCCTGACTTGCTCACTCACTTAGCAAACAGACCACGTTGACTTGACCTCGAATGGCTTACTGATAAATCCACGAGTCAGCAGTAAATCCAACAGTTTCATGCCAGTTTTTCTAGCATTTACATACATATGGGACCTGTTGTAAAACTCAAGACTATTATGAAGCAAATACATTTTGTGAGCACTGTTTTTTTTGTCCTGAGGGTGAATAAACATTTGAAAATATTGAATTAGGATATGTTTGGACATGTTGTTTTGATTTTTAAAGAAAATGTATGTAACTTGTATATCACACAATATAAATTTGGCAAATGTGTTTTACATGTGCAGGTTCAACAGTCTTAGAGGATTGTGCAACTACAAAGAAAATGAAGTCTGAATAATGCAGTAGTGCGTACTATTGTCACCTATCGAAGAATATTCTGTGCTCATATAAAAGTGTAAACTGCAAAGAAAAAACAACAGACAAGACATTTCAACTGGAAAGTAATTAAATGAAAGCATGTTACTTGTGTTACTTGTGTTACAAGTTACTTGTGTTTCTTAGGAGAGGCAAGAAGGTGTGGAGTGACGCACTAAATTTGCTTTACTGTGTATTTCTTTCAACGCCCTCTTATTCGATTTGATTCTGTGAGTACTATTACACCATGCTAATACACAATAAACAAATGAATGTGGAATGTGTGCGTCCACTCCTTTAAAGTAAACTTTAGTTCACTCTATGAGTCCTCACAGTTCTTAAAATCTGCTTTGAAGTGTACAGTGATGTATGTTTGACTTCTACAAAGCATGATATGTTTTGAAGCCTCATTCATCATTATTAAAGTTATAATTAAATAATATAATTTGTCAAATTTAAATGTTTAAATATTTAAAAACTTTCCTACTGATTGTCTAGTGCGCTATGGAAACCACACCCGCTGCTAAACAAATGAATGTTACACCACACACCTAACACAACACAACCACACCAAAGAATAACCTTTCAAAATTAAATTAAGATTTTTTTTTATGGTCAATATATGTTCATCTATGTTCAATAAACAGCTCCATAACTGAGTGACACGGTATAAGCTTAAGGTAATTAAAGATAAAGAATATAAATACTGACTTGTCTTATATTGATTTGTAAAGGACGTTAGCAATAAATAATTCACACCTTCATTTACACATGACTTTTAAAACAGTCTTTGCCCACAGTCACAGCATATTAAAGGCTGCTAAACAAATGAATGTTACACCACACACCTAACACAACACAACCACACCAAAGAATAACCTTTCAAAATTAAATTAAGATTTTTTTTTATGTTCAATAAACAGCTCCATAACTGAGTGACACGGTATAAGCTTAAGGTAATTAAAGATAAAGAATATAAATACTGACTTGTCTTATATTGATTTGTAAAGGACGTTAGCAATAAATAATTCACACCTTCATTTACACATGACTTTTAAAACAGTCTTTGCCCACAGTCACAGCATATTAAACAGTTTTAAACAACCTTTAAAACAACCTTTTAAACAATCACACATAAGAATGATATAAATGGTAGGCTAGTTAATGACTCTGAAAACAGTTTCCTTGAAGCTGGATTTTCTTTTGTATAAATGTTCACATTTTCTTATTTTTCGAGGCATCTAATCCGTTAAATATGGAATTATTATCCATTAAAAGTTATTTTCATGTTAAACAAATGGTGGAAATTAAAGGCTGTATTTTAAATTAATATTTAAACTAACTGTATTTTGTATTTTTTAAATAAAATTGAATTGAGTCATAATATATTATTATTAATAATTGTCTGTGTTACTGTGTGTGTGTGTGTGTGTGTTTGGTAGTCGATTTAAATCTGTGAAAAAAACTACAACTCCCTTTAAAATAAAAAGACCAGCCTTCTTTTACGACAACAAAATGCTATTGGTTCGCATCTGTTTGACTGACTCTAATTGAGTCATAATATATTATTATTAATAATTGTCTGTGTTACTGTGTGTGTGTGTGTGTGTGTGTGTGTGTGTGTGTTTGGTAGTCGATTTAAATCTGTGAAAAAAACTACAACTCCCTTTAAAATAAAAAGACCAGCCTTCTTTTACGACAACAAAATGCTATTGGTTCGCATCTGTTTGACTGACTCCACTCTAGCCAATCAGCTGTCTTCAGGATGAAGGGAATGTGGGCCACTGACCGGCGTAATGCCAGCGCGAGAAAGTGCCACGACTCCACACAGACATCGACCGACTCCTCAAGCTGGAGATAAGAATTTTTTTGTTTGTTTGTTTGTTTGTTTTTGGCTGGAGTGGTGAGGCAGTTGGATTCGAGATAATCACTTCTGTTTAAACTCTTCCTGGAGTGATTCATCCAACGGAAATCTGCCGCGAGAAAAGGTGAGCTATTTAAAGCTTTTGTTATGGCGTTATTCATTATAATCTTAAAAGATTTGTAGTAGCAATTAGCAGTAAACTTTGATCTCTCCCGTTAATTTACTCCCTCTTTAACTAGTTCATAAGCCCAGTGGGTCGAAGACATCTTATTGCAGTTACGAAGCGAATAGCATAACTATAAGAAGTGGCTTCACAATCTGGTTCGAGTGATGCTCTGTTGTAGGCAGACACAGTTAACGTTAACTCCAGCTTTTCCTTTGTGAGCTAGCAAAGAAAACTGTATATTAAATAACACTTTTCGGCTCTAACAGCTTTAATGTCTGTCAGAATTATCCGAAATTTGTTTAAACGTAATTTTGATAGATCATTCATACTTCAGGAATAGCTGTAGGGCTCACAAACTCTCAGCCTTGAATTCTTATTGTATGTTCATTGAACAGCAACATTATGAATAGGTGTCAAATGGGAATATGGAACAAATCCTGTTTCATCTAATATGAATCAGCCTTTTAATTCAGTTTCATAGCAAATGTTGAATCTCCTCGTAATTTCCTATTGGCTCTTTAAATGGCTCCCAGTAAAGTCATTGCAAATGAACCATATAATAACTATCATTAATGATTATTTCTTATAACATTTAAATATGTAAGACAGAAATAAATATACAACATAAATACAGTCTGTCACATTTTACAGGCACCCTCATGTTCTCCTGCTTGCGCATTTCACTATAAATGAGCAAGTCTATAAGTGGATATCAAGGTATAAACATAAAGCAAATAATCTTACAGTATACAGTATATATATTTTTTAATCTAATATTGATTATGCTTTATCATTCATTTAAGTTTCCTGTATAATCTAATCTAATAATTAATTGGCACCCAACCAAGTCATTATATATTACAACACAAGAAAACATAGGCTATGGAAAATCGAGAGAGAGAAAAAAAAGCAAAAACTTAGCATTCCACTCTACATGTTACCGATGGCCACTAAACCTCTATTGTGCTCTGAAAGTTGTCTAGATTGTTCTTGCTTCTGGGATATGTCAAGTTCACAGCTTTTTTTGCAACACATTTGTGCTTTGGTGCACATTTGAAGTGTGAGATTGGCATGCGTCCCATGGAAGCAGCAGAGTATAGAAATTTGCAGACAGCAGCACATGGTGGAATGGAAAACTCTCTTACATAACTCTTTTTTAAAAAAAACAGTGTTTGCATATTGTAGGGAAGCAGCTTTTCGTCAAAGTTTTTGTAGTAGAAGTTGAGGCTAGCACACTTGGACATCTATACTTGTTTTAGTTTTTTTTGGTTGCATGGACCTCTTCTACCATATGCAGTGTTTGCATATTGTATGGAAGAAGCTTTTCTTCAGGTCAACATTCAAAAGCCAACTTAGTATAATGTCCTTGCTTGGTGTAACATTTTAACTAGTACAGCGACAAATATGTTTGATAAAGATAATCTGAAGGTAAGAGGGACTTACGTTACTGGAAGCTTTAGCTGCCTTAATGTGGAGCTTTAAAATGTATGGAATATATATGTTTGAATATACAAATATTATTGACATAAGTATACCAAACCTTACACTTTTTTTTCTTTTTAATCAGAACGCAAACTAGCAGTCATGGATATCTACGATCCTCAGACCCTTGGAATTCTTTTTAAAAAAACAGAGTGTTTGCATATTGTAGAGAAGCAGCTTTTCGTCAAAGTTTTTGTAGTAGAAGTTGAGGCTAGCACACTTGGACATCTATACTTGTTTTTGTTTTTTTTGGTTGCATGGACCTCTTCTACCATATGCAGTGTTTGCATATTGTATGGAAGAAGCTTTTCTTCAGGTCAACATTCAAAAGCCAACTTAGTATAATGTCCTTGCTGGGTGTAACATTTTAACTAGTACAGCGACAAATATGTTTGATAAAGATAATCTGAAGGTAAGAGGGACTTGCGTTACTGGAAGCTTTAGCTGCCTTAATGTGGAGCTTTAAAATGTATGGAATATATTATGTTTGAATATACAAATATTATTGACATAAGTATACCAAACCTTACACTTTTTTTTCTTTTTAATCAGAACGCAAACTAGCAGTCATGGATATCTACGATCCTCAGACCCTTGGAATTGTGGTGTTTGGTGGCTTCATGGTGTTCTCAGCCATTGGGATTGTTCTGGTCTCAACACTTTCCATGAAGGAGACCTCATATGAAGAAGCTATAGCCAAGCAGCGGAAGGAGCAGGGGAAGACCCTATCCAGGCAACGGTCGGACAAGAAGAAAAAGGACAAGGCAGCTGAGAAAAAAAATCGTGCTAAGAAAAAGGAAGATAAGCCCAACGGGAAGCTCCTGGTGTCAGAGGCCACCCCTGAGGTTACAGAAGTGCCAGCTGAGCCCAGTCCTCCAACTCCAGAACAAGTTTCTACACCTGTACCTAAACAAGAGGCCCCAGCTCAGAAGTCTCCTCAACCCACCCCTTCTCAGAAGCCCACTCCACCTGCCCCAGCTCAGAAATCAGCTTTGACTGTCCCAGTCCAGAAGTCAACTCCACCTGCCCTGGCCCAGAAATCTGCTGCACCTATCCAAAAGTCTACTCCAGCACCTCCTGCCCAGAAATCCTCTCCAACTCCCTCTGCCCAGAAATCTGCTTCACCTCCTCCTACCCAGAAATCTTCACCAGCCCCAGCCCAAAAGTCCGCTCCAGCTGCCCCTGCACAGAAATCCGCTTTACCTGCCCCCGCTCAGAAGTCTGCTTCAAATGCCCAGAATGCCCAGAAAGCAGCTCCACCTGCCCCAGACCAGAAAGCCGCCCCACTGGCCCCTGCACAAAAATCTACTCAAACTCAAAAGGCTGCTCCAACTGCCCCAACACAAAAATCCTCTCAACCTGCCACATCCCAAAAGGCTGCTCCAACTGCCCCAACACAGAAATCTTCTCAGCCTGCCCAAACCCAAAAGGCTGCTCCAACTGCTTCAACACAGAAATCTTCTCAGCCTGCCCAAAACCAAAAGGCTGCTCCAACTGTCCCAACACAGAAATCTTCTCAGCCTGCCCAAAACCAAAAGGCTGCTCCAACTGTCCCAACACAGAAATCTTCTCAGCCTGCCCAAAACCAAAAGGCTGCTCCAACTGTCCCAACACAGAAATCTTCTCAGCCTGCCCAAACCCAAAAGGCTGCTCCAACTGCCCCAACACAGAAATCTTCTCAGCCTGCCCAAACCCAAAATGATGTTGCATCTGCCCCAACACAGAAATTTTCTCAGCCTGCCCAAACCCAAAAGGCTGCTTCAACTGCCCCAACACAGAAATCTTCTCAGCCTGCCCAAACCCAAAATGATGTTCCAACTGCCCCAACACAGAAATCTTCTCAGCCTGCCCCACCCCAAAGGTCTGCTTCAAATACCCCAACACAGAAAGCTCCCTCACCTGCCCCAGCCCAGAAAGTCACTCCACCAGCCCCAGTGGAGAAATCCTCTCCACCTGACCGAAAACCCAGTCCACCTGCCCCGGCCCTATCCCAAAAAGCTTCTGCAGGTCCTACACCTCCTGCATCCCGTCCTGCTCCCGAAGATGCTCCGCCTGCCCCATCTCCTAAGGAAAAGAGGAAGAAGAAAGCCAAAGCAGAGCCTGTTTCTGCTGAGATTCAGCCCAAATCTGTGGCTCCATTGGAGATGGTGACCAAAAAGGTTCCCGTCATGGCAGTGCCTCCAGTGGGTACTCTGAAAGCTGTCTCAGCAACTGCTGTGCCGGCCAAAGTAGAAGAGCCCAAACAGGATGCTCCAGCCAAGAAGAAAGGAGGTTCCAAGAAGAAGTCAGAACCAGGTATGCTATTATCTCCACAAAATCACCTATATTAAGTGGTCAGATTATTACTAGGCGGGCTGCACAGACCTAAAGGAAGTGGAGGAGGCTGCCCCCTCCTGTTTCTCTTTGCAACTGTAAATTTTTTGACATTTCTTTTAATTGGCATAATAATTAACAATAATATTATTATTAATAAAAGTAGCTTTCAGTGGTAGTCAGTAGGATGCACTAAGGTATCATCAAACCTCAGGAGTCATTTGTCTTTTACTCTGTTTCCTATTCCTCCTTGTCTTTCTTTTGCTACATTGAAGGACTATCAGGTGCTGCTGAAAATGAATGCTTACGTTACAGTCTTCATAGGCACTAGATTGCAGCTCAAAAATGACTCTCTAATGCTTTAACGCAGTGATTATATTAGGTTAACATTAATTTTGAAGGATTTGCCTGATCCATGACAAATGATTTTAACAAATGATTGCAGATGTGCTCTGCAAACGTGGAGCTTGAATTTGAGTGCCAATGTTTTCCTTTCATTCCCACATTCTCTGTTTGTACATCTTTAATATCTTTATTATATATGAATAAAGATTAATATTGAAAATATTTATTTTATGTTTATAAATACTTAATGTTACATATGTAATTATGTATTTATTATATGTTGTATTTATATTTATTATTATATATAGTATTTATATTTATACTTTTATTTATTTATTTATTTTTTAATTTGGCATTATCAGGAGAATGCAGTTTAATTTTTCTGAAGTGTAGCAGATGCTAATGTTAGACCTGTAATTTAAAAAAAAGCCAGTCCAAATGAATATATTCAAGCCAGGTATGTCTTAAAGGAAGTATGGCCTCGGTGTGCAATAACAGGATACTTCTGATTGGTTTGCCAGACCCTTAAATACACAGAGATAAAATTGTTTTAGCTAGACCACACAGATGACATCTACATGTAATAAACCTCCAAGTGGAGCCTGGAAAACCTGAAAATATGGTATATGTGAAGTGGCTGACTCGTAAGTTTATATACGTGTCACTTCCTAATGTCAGCCATCTCGTTCAGAGTACCGTCTGGATTGTTTCTTCTGACAAATAGCGCTGATGTGCTCTATTTCCTTTGTGGGCGGGGTGTTGGAATAGCACTACTCCTTATTTGCTGATGTTGGCTCTGATTGGTTGCAGAGAGCACAGAGTGGGTTTCTGTCTGAAGTGCTACTCACAGGGGATTGGAGCCAGTGAGCTGCATTCTTCTGCTCTTGTGCTGGTTTTCATGCACGTGTGTGTGTTAGTTCACAGGCTCTTAAGCACATAGTTTGAGTTTCATTTAATAACAGTTTCACATTCTGCCTTGCCCTGGATTCTTATAATGTTATGCATAATTTTGACTTCACTTTATTCCCTGTGCCTTTCTTTCTCTCTTTTTTGCACACTGTGTCAACTAGAGATGTGAAAAACTACGTATTGTCAAAATCGACTAGTCACAACACAAAATAGAGCAATACCACTAAAAAAAATCTAGATAAATCGCTCAACCAAACTCTTTAGTTAATTTATTGTTAGAATAGTCAACCTTTCGGTGTTATCATTAAGTAAATCTAATAATAAAAACATTTTATGTAAATTAAAATATTAAAAAACAATTTTAGTTAGCTAACATGTTAAGTTGTAGTAAAATGACTAAAACAAGAAATGCAATAGATTTACCAAAACTAAATAGAGAAAAACTAATAAAAATTACAAACCAAATCACTAGAACTTAAAGTAAAAATAATAATAAATAAAATAATAATTAAAAAACATATAAATACTTTAATCTATTAAATGATAATAAAATAAATCCAGTCATGTCTCATTACTACTGTAGGTTTTTTTTTTTTTTATGTGGTGAACTCCTTTTATGCATGCACACAGAGTCAGTCCTTATGAATTTTCCACTCGCTTGTGATGAGGTATTGCTCTGCTTTGGCCATGGGAAAAAGCAGAGAGTTTGTGGCAGCACACAGGTGCATTTCCGTGCACCCAGAATTCCACTCCTCTTCACAGCCCTCTTGGCCCTGTTCAAACACTACTTTTGCCTCTGCTGCTCCATTAGGGGAGCACACAAAGGCCTTTAGTGACTGGACAATAGGAGTTTATCGTAGGGGTTGAACGACTTCTGCTTTTTTTTTTTAAGTCGACTTTTATGTGATGAAAGTCGAGTTGAAGTCGACTAGTCGCTTATGACGTCATTAATGAACAAATAAGTCTGGAGCTGTGACAAACACCTTGTGCACAGCTATGGCATATGACACAGCGCTGCCCACATGGCTATTGCTACTATAACAGCTCATTTTTATCAGTTCTTTTGTCTTTAGGTCGTTATGTTTTTCACAGATTTCTGCTCATTCTAAATCAGATACAGATAAAGCAGCACAGTAAAGATTACATTAATATGAATGCATTAGTGAGAGTGATTGCGTGTGTGAATTAATTCTACCTGGCAACGTCTCTACTAATAGTGAAGCTGTGGGATTTAGTTATTAAGAAATATATGCTTGAACTTTTCAGTTTCTAAGCTATTTTATTGAGAAATCACAGAACAATGTTAACAATACATTTCTGTGCTGAATGATTATGTGCGCGTGATGTACGCGTTACTGTCTGTAGCCTATGTGTGTGCACTACAGTGCAGCAGCGCATTAGATTAGAACGGCGATTAATTTACCTGTACAATAAGCTGTTTAAAACGTGCATTCTCCCGTTCAATTTCAAGCATCCAGTAATATAATCACACGTCTTGTGGAGCGCTTTCAGAGTATGCATTTATTTGTCATTTGAACTGGAAACGGAGAGTAAATGTGGAAGTCCTTCAAAGATTTCTTATCCTGTTACATCCTCTATAGGACCAGTGACTAGTCGATGTCAAGCTTAAAGCGTCATGGCAGAGCATTGAAGTCGACCAGTCGATTAGTCGGTGCAACCCCTAGTTTATTGTCAGTCCTCCTGGGTGCCATCTCACCCTGGTGCCACACTGCACTCATGCCATGTTGGCACTGTCTAAATAACACAACGAGTCAATAAAGAACATGAAAGTGCATACACACACCACTGTACAAGCTTTCAGTTAACTGTATTGTACACGTCATTCTCTAGAAGCTGCACTTGTTTTGGTCTGTCTGTTTTATTTTATGACTCTGCTGTTCTCAACATGTTTGATTGGATGCTGGAGATCTTGGTGTGGGTGTTTAGGGAATGTTTAGGAGTGTAATAAAATGATTTGGAGAATTCACTCATAAACACAATTAGTTTAGTTTAGTGGACACCCTGCTGCGACCAGAGACGGTTTTGCCGCAGAGCACTTCACAGAATGACACTGGCACTCCAAAAGGATGTAACTGTGTTTTCTGAGTGGATAGCAGGTAACTCTGTGAGTTCTGTTATTTTTATCTTTTTTTCTTAGGCATAACCTTAATCAATGTAATGTTTTTTGTTTCTTTCTCTCTAGCGGTGGCTGCAGACCCCGCGGACAGTCCACTGTACTTGCCTTACAAGGCCCTGCTTTCCACGGTGAGGAGTACGGTGTTCACTGAAGGAGAGGCCCAGCAGCTCATTGAGATTCTGTCTGATAAGGCTGGCATTATTCAGGATTAGCTTTCTGATTTAGCGTCTCTCAAATACAGAATGACACTGGCACTCCAAAAGGATGTAACTGTGTTTTCTGAGTGGATAGCAGGTAACTCTGTGAGTTCTGTTATTTGTATCTTTTTTTCTTAGGCATAACCTTAATCAATGTAATGTTTTTTGTTTCTTTCTCTCTAGCGGTGGCTGCAGACCCCGCGGACAGTCCACTGTACTTGCCCTACAAGGCCCTGCTTTCCACGGTGAGGAGTACGGTGTTCACTGAAGGAGAGGCCCAGCAGCTCATTGAGATTCTGTCTGATAAGGCTGGCATTATTCAGGACACATGGCACAAGGTATGGGCAATTTCCTAAAATCTGTCTTGTTTTATATTTTTAAATGAGCGATCTTTCACTTTCTATTGCTTTATTTAAACTCAACCAAGAGGTTTGACTAAACAGAGTTTTATGCATGTTTATAGGCCACACAGAAGGGTGATCCGGTAGTTGTGCTGAAGAAACAGCTGGAAGAACGAGACAAGCAGTTGGGAGCCGAGCAGGAGGACTCAGCAGCTGTTAAAAGCCGACTGAGGGATTTGACTAAAGTGAGGCCTGAAACACTCATGCCAGTCTAAAAAATAATTAGGAAAAGTACAGCGACAAATATGTGTTTGATAAAGATAATCTGAAGGTACAAATTAGGAAAAGTTTGATATGTGCACACACATTAAGCCTTATATGGACTCTATGAGGGGAAAACTGCCCAGTCTCTTGATTAAATATTTTGCTTTGGTCTGATGGTGATAGTGCCAAGGTTTAAACCTACACTACCATTCAAAAGTTCGGGGTTGGTAATGTTGAAAACAATAATTACTTTTGATCAGCTAATGAGTCCTAGTTGAATATAAAGTAATCAATTCTTTCAAGCAAAAAAAAAAAAAAAAAAACCTTTGAATGGTTGTCTACATTTTTTTTTTTTTTTACCAGCTCTACACAACCCTTCAACTAGAAGCCACAAGTATTTTGATGGCCTGTTTTCATGCCAGATCATGACCTGCATATGATTTATGTTTGTTGTATAGGAGCTCTCTGTGGAGAAGTCAAAGGTGGCGTCTGTAGAGACCAGGCTGAGCTCTCAGCTGAGTAAACGAGAGCAGGACATTATCGCCCTGCAAGCACGCATGCAGGCCAGTTATCAAGACCACCTTGCGGAGACTCAGCAACTTAATGCCAAAGTGAGATTCTCTGCCGTACACCTACCTGCATGGTAGCAAGACTCTCTAAAAAGTTACGTGATTACAAGGACATCTAGCAAAATATTTATTTAGTAGGAAAGAAAATTGTGAGAAAAAAAACATGGGTAATCTCAAATTATGAAATGACCAAACAATTTTTCTTCCAAAATATGGATTTATTTGTTATACATTGTAACATAGATGGAAGTATTCTCATTAACGCTAGGTATAAGTGAATGCATTAAATTTAACAGGATTAGATGCTTTTAATTAATCACATTAGTGAGCTTTGGCAGCCCTAATATTTACGTGACGTGCCTAAGCCCTTTCTGCTCCTCTTTAGATCTTGGCTCTCCAGGACCAGCTGGAGAAAGGCCCTAATGCTCAGCTGGCCCGTCTACAGCAGGAGAACTCAATCCTCAGAGATGCGCTTAACCAAGCCACCAGTCAGACGGAGAGCAAGTATGAACCTACAGCTCCTGCCAAACCCAATAATCTGTTTCACAATAGTGACAAACATTGTTTTATATCAGAGACACCTGGATGATCAAAACTTTTGACCAATAAGATTGCAACAGTAGTATCCAAGCAGCCGTAAAAATGTCTTTATGTGGGTTGTTGTTGATTGCCGCTGGTTATGATGACAACTACATTGTGTTGTCCAAAATGGTAATTTTTTTTTTTTGATCCATTAGACAAAATGCTGAATTGGCCAAACTGCATCAGGACTGCATTCGACTGAATAAGGAGCTGGTGGAGATGAACGAAGCCTTGCAGGCTGACGAACAGCTCAGGAAAAATCTGGAATCTAAAGCTGCCATGGCTGAGAAACAACTGACCCAGCTGCAGGTCAGATACTCACCCTTCTTTGCACCACAGACGCCAATCATTCCTGTTGTTTAGTTTGGTGAGTTGTAGTTAGTTTTGTGATGCCTCTTATGAAAGAGTTCAAAATGCCACTCTAATTCTTATAAAACATCTCCCAGCATAAGCACCTGCCTCATTAGTGCTTTCTGCTACCTCTCGCTGGGCTGTTTAGCCACATCCGCAGGTAGACAAACATAGTTTCTTGCAATCTGTGTGTGTATTTAAGAATCTTGAATAGGCTTGCTGGTAAAGCTGAGGCTTTGACTCCCCCAGTGCTGGTGCCTCTACTAATGGGATTGTTCACATGCTGGCAGAACATTTAATTGCCAGTTTGATCACTCAGCAGTGCTCTGTGGTTTGGAACATGGCCCCCACACTACAGAGAAGCACTTCTTCGAGCGATCTGGAATGTGAGCCTGCCTGAGCAGTACAGTTTCAGGCAGAAGTATCTGATTATTCATACTGGAAATACAGATAAAACGTCTCTTCGCTAATCCTCTGCTACAAACCAAAGACCACTGAATAAAAAGCAGCCTTGTGTTGAAGTGTGTCTTGAGCCCATTTTAAGCATCTAGATGGTTCACTGGCTTAGGAGAGACATGGGTAATGTCTGGAGAGTGTGAGTCAGTGATCTAAATAGAATTTTTTTGTGTAGAGCAAGCTTATGAGAAGCCTTATTTTTTTGTAAGATTTTGATATAATCTCTGAGTAATCGAACACGAAGAGATTCAGTGTTCCTATGTTATGTTGGTTCCCAGTTAGAAATTAGTCTAAATAAACATTAGGACATAAAATAAATGTAATTTACATTGCCTCCCTCCAAAAAAGTAAAACTGTTTGAATGTTGTTTATCATATCAGAACACAAAATTGTGGCTACTGTTTTTAGGTGTTTAAAAATTTTAGGTGGTTATGGTCCATTGTGTTTATCCAAAGCGACTTAGATTGCATTCAAGGTACACATTTCATCAGTTCTTGCTTTCCCTAGGTATCGAACCTATGTCCTTGGTATTGCAAGCACTGTACTTTACTGTTTATGAGATATCACCTATTTGGTTCATAAAGACTCTGAATTTAGTGGCGTTGGGTGACCAAATCTCAATTGTTTTCTGTTTATGCTTTGTCCCCTGCAGGCGAACTGGGTGAGCAGTGAACAGGCCCTGCAGAAGCGTCTGGAGGAAGTGAGTGAGGAGCTCAGACTGACCCAGAGCAGCAGAAACAGCCTTCAGACACAGCTTGAACAAGCTCAGAAAGACGCCACTGCTCTAGCAGGTCAGCACCCACTTGGTTCTTAAGCAAGGATGCACTCTGTAGAACCACAAGATTCAGTCTGCTTTAAAAACATTTCTTTATAACTGAAAAAGTTGGTTAGATCTGAGCTGCAAATCGGGCAAGGTATAATGCTTGCAGTACCCACAATGTGTCCTCTAACAAAACGCTTAACATCAGGTTTCTTGTGTACTATATGTCGCTTTGGACAAAAGCATTAGCGAAGTTATGAATTAGTAATTAGAAATATGAGTTCTCTTCGTCACTGCAATGTTTCAGAGGCTCAAGCTCGTGTATCCAGTATGGAGGCGGAAATGAAAGAGCGGACCGGACAGTTGGAGAGTCTGCAGAGCCAGCTGAAACTGCTGGAGGCGAGCCAGAACAAAGAACAGAACCACAATTCAGAGGTGACGTTCTGCTTTCTGAGATGTCAAATTGAATAAATGGGTTCAAGTTTGTTAAACATTATGTAAATTATGAAATATATGATTGTGAGGTCATTTGCATGTGTAATATTTATAGGCTTCGATGGCTGAACTGGAGCAAGCGAAGAGTAGGTAAGATAAAAGGCCATATTTGCTTGAGAGTTGATAAAACTTGTTTTCAGATGATGATGAAATGTTTCTTTTTTCTCCAGTGACAAATTTTCTTGTTTTTTGCTTAACAGTCATACAATTTTAGTACAATTCAACCCAAAGAAATGCATCAATAAATGAATCAGCTTTACAGCTAACATTTGTTGGACATGAATTTACATTGTTTAATCTCTAGCCTGAAGGAGAAAGAAGAGGAACTGAACCAACTCAAAAACATCATCGCCAATCAGGTGAAGCCGAACATACTGCTTTTTAGACGATTTTCAGCTCATTTTAGTATTTCATTACTAACTTTGACTTTTAATGTGTAAAGCATGTGATTTGTTGTGCTACCTTATTTGAACCAATCACATGTCCTCTTCAGGTGGATAACACAACAAAGGTGCAGCAGTTGCAGCACAGGTACAATAAGGATGTTTTCTGATGCTTCATTAATGCATTTCAGTAGTTGATTTGAATGATTTAAATGTTTTTGATCTTTTCCTTTGAATTGAAGCATTAAAGAAAAGGATGACCAAATAGCAACTCTTCAGGGAGAGCTCCAACAGGTTAAAGAGAAAAGTTCAGACCTCACCAGAGTAAGTTTATCATATGCAAATCCTCACACTTCAAACAATCGTTCAATTTAGACTTAACCATTAATCCCACTTTTAAATTATTATTATTTCTAGCTTGAAAACACAGAAATGCTGGAACAGCTTCAAAACAGGTATGCGTCATTTTGATGCAAACAACAGCTTCAAATTCATGTGTTTTTCTCATTCTCTTATTAAGATTTAATGCCATATGCTCTCTTCTTCCTGTTTCTGTAGTTTGAAAGAAAGAGAGTCTCAGGTGGCTCTGTTTGAAGAAGAGATGAAGCAGTGTAAAGAACAGTATGACACTAAAGTAAGTGAGACTTCACTGTTATTCTATATTGGTATGTTTGACTTTTAAAGCTAAAGTGTATCATTTAGTTTAAAACAACTCACCATTTTTTAATAATGCACTCTTCATTTACAGCTGGCAGACAGCACAGCCAAGCTGGAGTCACTACATAAAAGGTACATATTCCATCCTAGTCAGTGCACATTACAGTCTGAGTGTGAACAGTACAGGAGCGTACTGGCTGAGACGGTGAGATTATACACCAATAATCTGTTTCAGCAAAGCCTTAATGAGAATGTGATCGAGCCGGATTTGTTTCCTGATGTTCTTTAGGAGGGGATGCTGAAAACACTTCAGAAGAGTGTAGAGGAGGAGGAGAAAGTGTGGAAGACCCAGATAATGGAGTCAGAGGAGAAACTGAGAATGGTAGGGTTTATTCACTGTATTAACACACACACACAAAAATCTGCAGAAATAGTGTAAGTACAATAATAATGAAGAAAACTTTATTCATTTTTCTTTTTTTTGTTATCCAAGTGTTATGGAAAACGTTCATAATATTTCAGGGGGAATTTGGAGGGTCATTCCACCTCCAAGTGAAAGCGAGTGTGAGAGTTTGTCTGTCGTTTTATGTTTTCAATCTGTCATTTTATGTAGGCACTCAAAAAGATGCAGGAATTAGAAGAGACAACAGAGAGCTTGAGAGAGGAGAACCAGAGAACCCAACAGGTACAGGTTTCACCTGTGGAAATGAGTTTTTGTACAACAGGACACTATAGTAATACAAAAGATGATTGTTACAGAGTTACATGTGTCAGGCTCTATAAATAAACCATAAACTGAAAAATCCAGTGACTAAGAAAATAAAGTATTATCAAAATATTAAATATTTCATATTAGGACTCCACTAATGCATTCTCATTTATTATTGATTTACATTCAAATGACTTTTTCTCCACTGAGCAAATTTAACCATTTATATGCAAGGTCTTCATGGGTCCTTAAAAACTCAAATTTAAGGTCGTAAAAGTCTTTAAAAGTCCCTTATTTCAGTTATCAAATTAACTGAAAATGTTAAATGTTATGTTAAGTTATGATTTAATTAAATGTGAGTAGCAAATTTACTGGCATTTAATTCATTGTAGACTCCTGGTGCTTTCCTCCAGGCCAAAACGTCACAGAAAGGAAAGACTAAGGAATTTTTTTGCAGATTCAATATGTAGGTTTTCCTGGTAGATTTTCCACAATTTGTTTATTGTCTGGTTCATGCTACCTTAGAAGTTTGAACCCAAGTGTACAGTGGTGTGTGAACTTTATTTTTTTTGACCCCTTCCTGTTTAAAAAAATTTTTGGGGGATATTTGTCACACTTGAATGATTCAGATCATCAAACTAATTTTAATATTACACAAAGATAACCCGAGTAAATGCAGAATGCAAAATGCAGAATGCAAAATGCAGTTTTGAAATAATGATTTCATTTATTAAGGGAAAAAAGCTGTCCAAACCTGCCTGGCACTACGTGAAAAAGTATAATAAATCTAATAACTGGTTGTGCCACCCTTTGCCGCTAGGGATGCAACGATTATAGATTTTGTTCGTACGATTATTGTCTGAGAAATAATCACGATTTCACGATTATGACGATCATTATGCATTTATTAATTTCACAAAATTATTATTGTATAAAATCCCATGGACACTCTTTAGATAAAGTGTTATTTATTGCTGCCTTTAGAAACCGAAATAACACAGTAACCAATAATACAGCACAAAATAATAATAATAAAGACAAACAAATGTCTATCTCTCCAATTGGAATTAAAAAGGTGACCTCTGCTCTGTAAACATGTCAGTATTTCCCTTTTGAAAATAACTAATGAAAATATTTCAAAAGTATTTCATGTTTTCAGTTTGTAGATTCTTTACGTTTCTTTTGGACCTGAGGCAGAAAACTGGAAACATGGTGAAAAAAAATTATCTTGTTGGTTTTTGACTTATGCATAATACTATAAAAGGGATAATATATAACAATGTTATTGTATTATTAATAAATAATATTACCACACTATTTCATCTGTCTGATCTGAAGCCGGCAGAATACTGAGCTAACGAGCCGCAGCTTCGCGACAGTCTTGCCTTCACGTCGTGCATTAAAATAGTTTAAAGCTGTGTATTCGCTCTTTAGCAGCAGTTTTTACGGCAATATTTAAATGACACCCCGGTCATTCTTGGTGTACCCAAAATGGTCCCACACTATCGACTTCAGTCATTTCTCTGGTGGAAATAAAGGATCGCTGTTTGGTTCCTCTGTCATAGTTAGCCTAGTGTGTGTAGTAGCCTCCGTGTCTCTGATAAGCACAGTATTTTAAGTTGGCGCACCGCTAGTGTAACTTTGTTTTCGTTTTAGCGCAAGTTGCAACTGTTCCGTTCTGTGCAACAGAAACACTCGGTGTAGTGGAGCCTTTACGATTAATTAACCGTGACATTTTAAAGAGCGGTTAATTGTGAAACCGGTTAATCACTGCATCCCTATTTGCCGCAACAACTGCAATCAAGTGTTTGCAATAACTGGCAATGAGTCTTTCATATCGCTGTGGAGGAATTTTGGCCCACTCTTATTTGCAGGATTGTTTTAATTCAGCCACATTGTAGGGTTTTCGAGCATGAATGGACTGTTTAAGGTCATGCCACAGCATCTCAATCGGATTTAAGTCCGGACTTTGACTTGGCCACTCCAAAACCTTAATTTTGTTTTTCTTGAGCCATTCAGAGGTGGACTTGCTGGTGTGTTTGGGATCATTGTCCTGCTGCATAACCCAAGTGTGCTTGAGCTTGAGGTCACAAACTGACGGCCGGACATTCTCCTTCAGGATTTTCTGATAGAGTGCAGATTGGGGATAATCAAGATATTTTTGGGCAAATGTGAGACGAGCCTTTGTGTTCTTTTTGGTCAGCAATGGCTTTTGCCTTGGAACTCTCCAATGGATGCTGTTTTTGCCCAGTCTCTTTCTTATTGTTGAATCATGAACACTGACCTTAATTGAGGCAAGTGAGCCCTGCAGTTCTTTAGATGTTGTTGTGGGTTCTTTTATGACCTCCTGGATGAGTCGCCATTGCGCTCTTGGAGTCATTTTGGTAGGCCGGCCGCTCCTGGGAAGGTTCACCACTGTTCCAAGTTTTCTCCATTTGTGAATAATGGCTCTCATCGTGGTTCACTGGAGTCCTAAAGCCTTAGAAATTGCTTTATAACCTTTTCCAGACTGATACATGTCAACTAGTTTGTTTCTCATCTGTTTTTGAATTTCTTTAGATCGCGGCATGATGTGTTGCTCTTTTAAGCATGCTTCACTTTGTCAGACAGGTTCTATTTAAGTGATTTCTTGATTCAACAGGTCTGGCAGTAATCAGGCCTCGGTATGGCTAGTGAAATTTAACTCAGCTTTCTAAAATAATGTGGTTAATCACAGTTCTTTCATGATTTAACTGGAGGGGGCAATTCATTTTTCACGTAGGGCCAGGTAGGTTTGGACAGCTTTTTTCCCTTAATAAAATAAATCGTCATTTAAAAACTGCATTTTGTATTTAATTGCATTATCTTTGTGTAATATTAAAATTTGTTTGATGATCTGAATATTCTGTATCTATCTATTCCCCCCCCCGTGCAGCTGGAAGAGAAAGTGATGTTGCTCGAGGCCCAATTTGAGAAACAGCTCCAGTCAGTGTCCACTGACAGCCAGAGTCAATCTGAAGAGATAACACACGTGAGCGCACACTCCTTATTCACTAAAACACAATATGAGATACAAAAGCAAAACAAAGCCATATTAGTCAGTCATTCAGTGCATTTTATTTTATTTATTTATTTTTTATAATGGTTTTGCCTGTGTGAAGAGGTTGTTTTAACATCTGACGTGGTTGTGAAAAGATCTTGAGATCTAGTCCTGCTCTGCCACTTAACAGTTAATTTTGTTTGTTTTCAGTTGAAGCAAGTTTTAGCAGAATCAGAAAGACAGCTGAGTGCGGCCCAGAAGGAGATACAGACGCAGAGGGAGGAGCTTTCACAGGTTGGTTTCTCTTGAAGTCTGAAGCATTTGCTACAGGTTTACACCTACTATTCTTTGTTTTCCCACAATCATGTGCCAAACAGGAGATTTTGCCAAGGAAAATAAACAAAGCTGGTTTTGTTGAGTGACAGCCTTTATTTCCAGGTCGGGCAGCAACTGAGTGACGTGACAAAGCGAGCTCAGGGAGTGGCAGAGAACGGGCAGCCTGAGGCGGAGGAGTGTCAGGTTAGGGTGCGACACAGAAAAGCACCCTGCACCTCACTTGGCAGTTTTAGATAGATTTTTCAGTACTAACTATGGCTGTTTCTCAAAACCTATCAATGCCTATAGAATAAGTCTTCCAAAAATGGTTGACTGGAATACTGCTTACATTGCTGATTATGTTATGAGACATAGTCTGTATGCCAAAATATCCATAGAAAAGTTAAGTCAAATTTATTTACATAGTGCATTTCACTCTACACATTGAAATGATTTTACCCTGTACAAGAGGCTATGTTTATGTGCCATATGTTATTCTCCCTATCCAGTTCTGCCAATGAGGGGATGTTTTACTCATAATTCTAACCATTCATATTTCAGCATTTTGTTTTAGCAGCTTCTGTTAACCCAGACGCCTGTTTTCATCTCTGAATATCTGCGCTCGGGTTCTATCCGTCACTCACCTTTTTTAACCACTAACATTTGTCTTTTGTATTTGAGGCTCGTACTTCTTTGAAGATCCTACTATTTTTGTATGATTTTATGCTTGTTTTCACTCTCATTTTCTGGATGCATTGTGCACTAATGCAGCTCTTGTGTTTGGCTGGTATGGAAAGGTTTTGCAGTAGTTCATGGATTAGCAATAACCTATCTACTTGGGTGGTATTGTTGGTTTGGTCAGGTCCAGGCTCAGCTGGTGCAGACGCTGGAAAAACTGCAAGGTGAACAGGCTCTAAACCAGCAGCTCTCTGCAGAAGTGGAGCAGGTACAGTGGTGTTCAAGATCTTGTTTCGTCTAGATTTCTAAAAACATGTTATTCATTAAACGCATTATTCCATCCTTTATAGGCTCAGGAAGCCCTCAAAAAACAGCTTCAGAGCCATCTAGAACAGATGAAGTCAGCTGGAGACGCTGCAGCCATGGAGGATGTTGTTCAGCTGAAGGTATTTTTGAACTTTGAAAAGCTGATAACCAGTATAATGTTTTTTCTCCTTTTTCTTTTTCTTTTAAGCTGCTAAGAAAGCACTTCAGCTTGGAATGACAATGTCAAATACCAATGAATCTATAAATGAAAGATCTAATCATTGGTTTTGGTTTGAAAATAGAAATGTCCAAACTGTATTTACAAGATGTAGAACTGGTCACACAAGACTTGCCCGTGTGTATTTATTGAAAGGAGAAGAATTGCCTTTACATGCTTTTTGTAGGTGTTCCTTGACTGTTAAATTGGTACTGTGGAAATGTTTTTCTCAAAGTAAATGAATGGATATTTTTAAAAACATTTCTCTAGAGAAAATATTAGAACTTTTATCAAATATCAGTTTGAAAGATTGTATATTATTTGATGTATTTATTTATCAATTTGTTTATGTAATGTCTTGTTAAAGGGATAGTTCACCAAAAAATGAAAATTCTGTCATTAATTACTCTTAATTCCTAATTCCTTAATACTAATTCCCTCATGTTGTTCCAAACCTGTAAGACCTCCATTCATCTTTGGAACACGAATTAAGATATTTTTAATGGAATCTAAAAGCTGTCTGACTGAATTTTACGAAGCTACAAGAATACTTTTTGTGCGCAAAAGAAAACTAAAATAACGATTTTATTCAACAATGTAAACAACGTATGCTACTATGTGTCAGCTGCATCACGCGGATACGTTGTCTACATTGCGCTTTTATCTGAACGTAAACAACATATCCACGTGACGCAGCTGACACAGAATAGCATATGTTGTTTACGTTCAGTAGATACTCTCCAAAGTGGTGCCAGGGTGACGCATCAAAAATATGCATCAATGATGCAAAATGATGCATCAAAAATATCTTAATTTGTGTTCCGAAGATGAACGGAGGTCTTACGGGTTTGAAACGACATGAGGGTGAGTAATTAATGACAGAATTTTCATTTTTTGGTGAACTAACCCTTTAAATTGTGTACAGTTCACTTAGGTATTATTATTATTAACTTTGTAAATCTTATTATTTTTGAGTTTGCTTTTGATACGAGAATACTTTTTGTGCGCAAAAGAAAACTAAAATAACGATTTTATTCAACAATGTAAACAACGTATGCTATTCCGTGTCAGCTGCATCACGCGGATACGTTGTCTACGTTGCGCTTTTATCTGAACGTAAACAACATATCCACGTGACGCAGCTGACACAGAATAGCATATGTTGTTTACGTTCAGTAGATACTCTCCAAAGTGGTGCCAGGGTGACGCATCAAAAATATGCATCAATGATGCAAAATGATGCATCAAAAATATCTTAATTTGTGTTCCGAAGATGAACGGAGGTCTTACGGGTTTGAAACGACATGAGGGTGAGTAATTAATGACAGAATTTTCATTTTTTGGTGAACTAACCCTTTAAATTGTGTACAGTTCACTTAGGTATTATTATTATTAACTTTGTAAATCTTATTATTTTTGAGTTTGCTTTTGATAGAAGGAAAGAAGAGAATTTCACTCAGAAATTATGCAATGATTAAGCACTTTTTAAAATTTAAACTGAAGATCTTATGTAGTTGTTATTGTTATAAGTTTATTTGTATGCATTTTATTTACCTTATTACATGGCAATAAAAAATGAGCACTTTTATTTATGACTCTGTCCATGCATACTGGAAGAGCTTTATCTAAAATGTTTCTTGTTTAACTGTTAGAAGTGAGTTTCTATGTAAATCCCTAATGCTCATGACTTTGTTTTAGGAGTGTCTAGAGAAGGAGCGAAAGATGACCAAAGATTTGGGCCAGGCAGCCACCAAACTCCAACAACTGTTAAGAAACAGTCAGGACCAACTTTCCAAAGAGAAAGAGCAAGTCAGGACCCTGCAGGATCAACTGCGAGATGAGGTACAAACATCATACAAATTAATAAAAGTGTATAGGACAAATAGCTGCATGCCTGTGTTAACGTTGTTTGTTCTTTGTTTTTCAGGAGGGTGATGGAGAGCTGAAGAAAGGCACTTCTGTTTGAGGTGTAAAACAAAACAAATTGCCAAAAATTGCCTTAAGATGACCAAAATTTTTCTTCCCTTTTTTGTCGTACCATAGTCTTGGGAGAAATTGTTTGAAGACTTTTGGAGAAATCTAGCTCATGCAAACATTTTATGTCGGAGATGTGCTGGAACTATTTTCACTTCACATTCCATCTGAAACCTTCTGGCTATGTCAGAAAATATTCCTCAAATGCCTTATATATATATATTCTTAGTGTTCCCGCACCTCTCCTCCTGATGTCAGTGTTAAAAGGGAAACCGCATGTACGTTATGCGTACATTAACTAGTGCAATTAATTTCTTGTAAGTGAATGAGTATGCATAATTGTATTGGTACATGGGTACAGCATTTGGAATGCTCTCTCTGTAGCTGGCTTCAACACCATTGTAGTAAGTTCGATAATAAATGGCAACATAGCTTTGTTTTACTGTCATGTTTCTTTCTTTTTTTTAATTTAAAGAAATAGTTCACCCAAAAATGATAATTTGCTGAAAATTTACTCGCCCTCAGGCCATCCAAGATGTAGATACGTTTTTGTGTCTTCATCAGAACAGATTTGGAGAAATTTAGCAGTATATCGCTTGTTCACTAATTGATCCTCTGGACTGAATGTGTGATGTAAGAATGAGAGACCAAATAGCTGGTATAAATGAATTTGTTGTTTTAACTTAAACCATTGCCTCTAGCCAAAACACCAGTCAATACATAATGCTTCCTCCAGTAAAAAAAAAAATCCATCCTCTGATGTCTCTGCAGAGGACCCATTGGTGAGCAAGTGATGTAATGCTAAATTTCTTCAAATCTGTTCCGATGAAGAAACAAACTTGTTTACATCTTGAATGGCCTGAGGGTGAGTAAATATCAATTTTGGGTGAACTATTCTTTTAAAATTAATCCTATTTTGCTATCCGAGTTTGAAAAGACAGGTTGTCTTTTTAATAGCATTTAGTTATGAATTTAAGAAGGAATGTTGGATTATGCTAGAAACTTTGACAAAAAAATCTGGATTTGGGTATAGTTTTTCTCCCCCCCTCATATCAATATTAAATAGAACCATTGTTTACAAATTTTTTTTTTTTTTGGCATAGGTGCATATAGAGTGATTTAGAATTAGAAAATACATAAACATTTCATAATACCTAACATGGCCGTAATGTTTTGGTATCTTTTGTAAAAACACCAGTCAATACATAATGCTTCCTCCAGTAAAAAAAAAAATCCATCCTCTGATGTCTCTGCAGAGGACCCATTGGTGAGCAAGTGATGTAATGCTAAATTTCTTCAAATCTGTTCCGATGAAGAAACAAACTTGTTTACATCTTGAATGGCCTGAGGGTGAGTAAATATCAATTTTGGGTGAACTATTCTTTTAAAATTAATCCTATTTTGCTATCCGAGTTTGAAAAGACAGGTTGTCCTTTTAATAGCATTTAGTTATGAATTTAAGAAGGAATGTTGGATTATGCTAGAAACTTTGACAAAAAAATCTGGATTTGGGTATAGTTTTTCTCCCCCCTCATATCAATATTAAATAGAACCATTGTTTACAAATTTTTTTTTTTTTTGGCATAGGTGCATATAGAGTAGATTTAGAATTAGAAAATACATAAACATTTCATAATACCTAACATGGCCGTAATGTTTTGGTATCTTTTGTACAATTCCAAGTTAATTAAAGGCACAGTATGTAATTTTCGCCGCTGGAGGGTTCGTATTCAAAATAAACAAATAGACAAAGGCATTGACTGATGACACTGTGACTGAGTGGAATCATGGGAGTTGTGGTCTTCATCCCCACAGCCGATTCAATCCGACGGGACTCGGGCAGAAATCATGTTCACGGATGAGCGAATTATTTATTAATGTAGTAGAATGAAGCAGGGTGAGGCTGAAAGCCGTTGAAGTGAAAAGAGGCCGCTGAACGAGCGTGACACATGGCTCGAAAGCAGCAGAGCTTTTATTATGCCACAGTCGACCGCTTCCACTCCTTCCGGTCGTGCGAATGTGGGGGGAAAAAAGCAGTGCTGTTTTATCATACTAGATACATTTGAAAGTTCTGTTATAATGCTACTCTGTGCGGTCGTCACCGGTCTAATAAAACGCATAACATATTAAAGCGTCTTTGGTGTTTCCATGTTCTCTACAAAACAAAACCGAAATGGAGGGATTATGACGTCATTGGCAGGCGACACAATGACACTATGGACACGCTCCGTGTCACTAGTTAAAATTGCTTATTTCTCTGGATTTAAACATTCTTCTGAAACATTTGGGATAATGTAAGTACACAAGTCAGCAAAATATATAACACTGTTCTAGTGGTTTTTGGATATTTTAATAAAATAATCTTACTGTGTCTTTAAGAAACACATTAAAAGTTTTTGAAAATCACATGATTTTATTTTTCAAGTACACAGTTGCATTAGGTAGCACAGTCCAATTGTAATTTCCAACACAGGATTTTTGCTGTCATTATACTATATTTGATGGTTTGTTACAAAAAAGTGTTGGTATTTGTTTAATAATGATCATTAATTGTAAATGGATAAATATGAGTTGTTCTCACTTGGTCAAATGACAAATACTGGTTCCAATGAAATACTCAGTTTAATAGCATACCTAAAAAAAAAAAATTTCATTTTGACTAATAGACTGATAAGGGGGCTGCTGGGTCATTGGGCTTATTGGTCAACACGGATCCCCTCCAAAGACTTAACCATGACCTTTCCACCAAGTTTCTCCACAAGACATGATGCTTCTCTGTCTGCAGGTTCATTAATTTGCCACTCAAATTTCAAACCTATAGGGAAAAAGAACAGGTTATCTTCTTTTCATTTTCTATAAAACTGCTTTGGAATAATGTGTACTGTAAGAAGCGCTTTAAAATATTAATTGTAACATTAAAAGGACCATAACCAACCTGGCATTTTGGCCTTAAGACCAGCCTTTGAGCTTGCATAGACCATTCTGCTCTTTAAGGAGGCGTTTTCAGGGGCACTGTGGAATAAATAAACACACAAGCAAGATGGTGAAAATAAATCGTAATGGCTGCTTCTTACTGAATGCATTTTGTGTTCCATTGTGCTGCTTTCTAAATGTTTTTCTATGAAAACATGCACTAGATGGACGTCTTTTACCATTGAATTAAAAAAATTGTACATTGGCTCACTTTTTTTGATTATGAGCCAATCTTACATATCCATGTTTGTTTCTGCTGGATGCTCAAGTTCCCACCAAAAATCAACTTCAAATGTCACCAATAAGCATGTATTGCCAAAGGAAGCATAGATTAGGTTTCAGTGGGATTTTTTCAGCCCATTCCTAGGAGACATTTTTGACAGCCTAAATACAGGTGCATCTCAATAAATTAGAATGTCGTGGAAAAGTTAATTTATTTCAGTAATTCAACTCAAATTGTGAAACTTGTGTATTAAATAAATTCAATGCACACAGACTGAAGTAGTTTAAGTCTTTGGTTCTTGTAATTGTGATGATTTTGGCTCACATTTAACAAAAACCCACCAATTCAACAAATTAGAATACTTCATAAGACCAATAAAAAAAACATTTTTAGTGAATTGTTGGCCTTCTGGAAAGTATGTTCATTTACTGTACATGTACTCAATACTTGGTAGGGGCTCCTTTTGCTTTAATTAATGCCTCCATTCGGCGTGGCATGGAGGTGATCAGTTTGTGCCAGTCTGTGTGCATTGAATTTATTTAATACACAAATTTCACAGTTTGAGTTGAATTACTGAAATAAATGAACTTTTCCATGACATTCTAATTTATTGAGATGCACCTGTATGTCCTCTTATTCTAAAAGGAGCCCATTGAAAATGGCATGATTTACACTTGAGATACTCTTAGTACAACTAAACAGTCACATGGAACACAAGCCATCATATGACTGCAAAAGTAGATTGATCAGTGAGATGCAAAGGCCTCATACGATAAGATGAAGACTAGGTCCTCCTTCACACTCTCCATGCTCGCATAGGAGCAGTCGTACAGGGCGTAGCGGCACTCATTGGTAGGAAGCTTACTGAGGATCTGCTTTAAGACATCCGAGTTCCCCACATCTTTGACTTTCAGGCAGTTTTCAACGTCCACTACGATGCTCTTTTGGTCTTTGCTCAAACACATGACCACAAGTTTAAACCTTTGCCCCACCTCAGTTCCTGTTTGGCGCACCCGGATTGCGTTATAGTGATATACCACCTCATCACTGATGGCTACACCTGAGGCCTGGGTGACATGGGAAAGAATAATGACAAAACATGCAGAAGTGATAACTATACAATTGGACTGTTAAGGTGGCATCTTCTTCCATCCAGATGACTTTGAGGAAAACATAAAGCAGATCATTGTATGAACCTCAAAAAATGATCTTTATTAGATTAGGCAGACATTTGACTACCACTAAACAATTTTTATTCTTTTTGAATCTACATTCCATAGGTATTTCCCATCTTTATAAATGCTTTAGTTTTATATATGAGGTGAAAATCTGAACCAGTTTGCAGCCTTCACATTCCATTCCTTTACAAACAAGTCAAAACAAGAAACCAAGTTACACCTCAAAACACTCTGGTGTGAGGAAACTCAGGAATGTCTCTGAATAACTTTTTGGTAACACTTCCCATTACAGTGTAGTTGTTTTAAATTTTACATGCTACAATTGTATTATTTTCCAACTTAATAGATCTAGTCAGACTTTCAGCTCACCCAGGAACCCCTATTACTACATTATTTAATGCTTAAAAGATTATAAGTTAGAAAGTCAAGAAATAAGTTCTATATACTATATGTGACCCTGGACCACAAAAGCAGTCTTAAGTTGCTGGGGTATATTTGTAGCAATAGCCAAAAAAAACATTGTATGGGTCAAAATGATTGATTTTTCTTTAATGCCAAAAATCATTAGGATATTAAGTAAAAATTATGTTTCATGAAGATATTTTGTAAATTTCCTACTGTAAATATATCAAAACTTAATTTTTTATTAGTAATATGCATTGCTAAGAACTTAATTTGGACAACTTTAAAGGCTATTTTCTCAATATTTTTTTTTGCCCCCTCAGATTCCAGATTTTCAAATAGTTGTATCTCGGCCAAATATTGTCCTATACAAACCATACATCAATGGAAAGCTTATTTATTCAGCTTTCAAATGATGTATAAATCGCAATTTCAAAAAATGGGGGGGGATTTTTTTTATTTTTATGGATTTTTCCTTTCCATTCAGATTAGTTCATGATTAGTTAGCTTTTTTAAATAAATAAATATTACATCTAGTTTCGTATTCAGTAAGAGGCCATAAAAATAGCAGGAATTAGCATAATGCTGAAATGCTCAAATAGATCAAATTTACCATGACACACTGTAGCACATGTACATAACACAACTGCATTGAATGAACATGTACACTGTGCAAAATGTACACTGAAAATAAAACTGCCCAAGTCTGGGGACTTACCATGGCTGACGCCTGTTCTGAGACGGAGGAGAAAAGTACGTTGTTGCCCTGCACAGTAAAGAAGCGTCTCAGCAGCAGGGGATCTGAACACACCCTCTTTAGAACAGATCAGTCCTGAATGACCTGACTTTCTACCTGCTGTGCGCAACTGCAAACACTTCTAATTACAGGATGATTGTGTTAAATATCCTGTTGTCGCCCGAATCAGATTATTTCTATTTTGTGTTTATGATAAGGAAGCCATAAAAGTGATGGTTTATGGCACATGTAAACGCTCAGAGGGGTGGGGGGATTTTTCCTTTCCATTCAGATTAGTTCATGATTAGTTAGCTTTTTTAAATAAATAAATACTACATCTAGTTTCGTATTCAGTAAGAGGCCATAAAAATCGCAGGAATTAGCATAATGCTGAAATGCTCAAATAGATCAAATTTACCATGACACACTGTAGCACATGTACATAACACAACTGCATTGAATGAACATGTACACTGTGCAAAATGTACACTGAAAATAAAACTGCCCAAGTCTGGGGACTTACCATGGCTGACGCCTGTTCTGAGACGGAGGAGAAAAGTACGTTGTTGCCCTGCACAGTAAAGAAGCGTCTCAGCAGCAGGGGATCTGAACACACCCTCTTTAGAACAGATCAGTCCTGAATGACCTGACTTTCTACCTGCTGTGCGCAACTGCAAACACTTCTAATTACAGGATGATTGTGTTAAATATCCTGTTGTCGCCCGAATCAGATTATTTCTATTTTGTGTTTATGATAAGGAAGCCATAAAAGTGATGGTTTATGGCACATGTAAACGCTCAGGTGAGTCAGATGCAGTTTGCAGTTGGAGACGGAACAAAACAGCCTTATAAGGAAGACAGAATCTGACAAAAACCCTTATTTGGTGAGAGGGGCACAAATGTTACGTTAGCACGAATGGAACGATCCAGGTGTAAAAATGATCGACACGTGACGTATAATCATGATGATTACTATAGACCAGCGAATTAATGTAGCCTATAATGTTAATAATGTTTCATGTTAACGATCAGTGTCTTCAACTGCTCAGTTACTCATAATGCAATTCTTCAGGCCCATTTCAGAATTGCGGGTGCAAATATAGCCTATATTTAGGCTATTAAATATGATGTTAAATGTTTGTCTGATCATATGTGTTAATGAATCATGTGTTTTTACTTGAAACTGGAACTTATTTCAAAAAGTTAAACTTTCATATAGGGGGAGAGTGGGGACGGTTGCAGAGAGGGGCAGTTGCAACATGGCTTATTTCTTCAATCAGGGAGGAGCTACAGTGATGATATTCATACTGCTCATGTTCAATGAGCCCCTCATCCTTCCTGGATGAAATCAGGCACATGTGACCATTCCTTCTACAAAAAATAATTTTCATGGTAAAAAAGTAGATTTATCATCAGATTTTTTGTCATATTAAGTTGTTTGCGTGAAGCATTGTAAAAACATATGATTTATATCTGTGTTTTATTAGCTTCTAATAGGCATAGCTAGCATGTGTCAAAGATATTGTGTCAAGCTAATATACCAAGTTTTATCACGGCTGTCAGTGTAGGGACAGTTGCAACACGTTGTTGCAACCGTCCCAACATGCTGTCCCTTACCATTCCATTGATGTAAAAGCTTGCCTTAACATTACATAATTGTAATTTGGATTAATAAAGACCCCCTTTCAATAGTTAGGTATTTCTCCTTTTTATATAAGTAAAAGTGGACTAATTTCCTTCACTCTCACCCTCTCTTTGTCTTACACACATACATGCATCACACACATTTCTGGTAGTCCATCGTATCTGATGATGACCTTCCTCCTCATTTGCGGTGCATCCTTTGATGACTATAGAGCCCTATCCTTGATCCACAAATTTTATTATAGGATTGGCAAATACAGTTAGAATTTGTAGGGGCAGGCATGGCTGTTTGTCTCCTTAGTCTTTTTTGTTGTTTCCTGTTATTTCTCTCTGATTCCAGCTGCACTATTCCTGTGTGACTGAGCTGCCGCCAGGTGGTGTGATTTGCTGCTAATTCTTCCAGGCATGAGGGATTAATTTGGCACTTCCTTAACGATATTTTAAATTGGTCTTTATATCGCTTTTTTGGACCCCCTGAGGAACGGTGGCCCTGATGGAGCTGACCATAAAGGATTAGACGTGGCAAACGATCTTGAGGTAGCCTAATAACGTGCCCAAGCCAGCGTAATTGATGCTCAGTGATTGTGGCTTCCATGCTCTTAGTTTGTCCTGGCAAGCCCTTCAAAATGGGGTACGCGGTCATAGCATGTAATCCCCAAAATTCGCTGCAAACACCCTATATGGAAACGCTCCAGTAACCTTAGGTGGCGGCCAGGGTGCGAACTACGGGGGAGCTAGGGGGAGCTCGGCTCCCCTTAATAAGACATGGGCTCCCCTGAAAACGTGATTTGTGAAATTTTGGGGGGTCTCAAAAAATATTGACAATGTGTTATTTTGACGTGCAATTTCAGTTTTGTGTAATGTGATCATCGTGGATTATTATGTGTAAAATTTCAAAAATATAATTAATTCATGCATGACGGCGATTTAAACCTAATTAACTTCAATAAAGATAACTATACATGCTATTCTTGTCATAAGCATCAAGGTGTGGGGGCACTGCGGTGCAAATTCCATTAATATTTAGTACATGTTAACTCAAAGATTTGTGGAAAAAATATAAACGTTGGACTCTGTGGTCGATTCTGTGTTAAGGTAAGGCATGTTATTCGCAATTATGTGTTGTGGCTGGGTTGTTATAGGTCTGCGTGACTCTCAATGTCTTAGGCCTAATTGAACGGAGGAATTACGGTATTCTTCTGTAGCCTGACAACGAGTAACTTTACTTTAACCATTGTTCATGTGAATTCAAAGACAGCCTGATGCTTTGTTTATAGACTATTTGTGGGTGGCTGTTTGTTGTTTCGCCTATCAGTTCGTGTCGATAAAGTATAATACGGTAAATCCTGTATAGTGATTTATCCTATATAGTGCTTGCATAAAGCAAGTAGTGCATACACTTGTAGCTGTTATGTGTCTTTGTAAGTCATTGTAAGCCCTCTTTTGAAGCATGCGCAAGCGCACGATTCATCCACTGGTTGTGCTGGTAACAATGCAGTGGGGAAAGGACCAGGAATCTGTTTCGACAGCCTTGAACATGAAGCGCTGGAGGATGCTGATCTCCTGGAGCACCAAAGGGTCCTAGAATCTGGAACACGCAGATGTGGCCCTGGAGTAGGTGCAGAAGGTCCTTAGCCTGGAACACGCAAGCAAAGGTACCTTGGAGGGAAGGTTTGCTCGCCGGAGCTTAACCTTGTTGCAGATATCTGTGTGTCTTCTGCCTCTCCTGGCTAGAGACTCAAAACTTGGTCGATCTGCTTTGTCTCTCTAGGATGGAGACTCAGGACGTGCTGCATCTGTTGTTGTCTCGCGGGACGAAGACTCTGAATGAAGTCTGAACAAAGATTATCTCTTTCCTCGCAGGCTGGAGGCTCAGAAAGTGGTTGTGTCTGTTGCTGCCTCGAAGCTGGAGACTCAGGACTTGGTGTCTGTTATTGCCTCTTCCTCACGGGCCAGAGGTTCAGAAAGTTGGTGATCTGTTGCACTCATTTCCTTGACAGGACTCAGACTCAGAACGGAGGTTGATCTGCTATTGTCTCACCCTTGCAGGCAGGAGACTCAGAACGGGTTGTTTCTGTTGCTGTCTTCCTGGTAACAGGACTCAGACTCAAAAAAGTGTATCTGTTAAAGTTTTTTCCATTGCAGTACTCAGACTCAGAACTTGCTCTGTTAGTGTCTTTTCCCTGACAGGACTCAGACTCAGAACAGTGAATCTGTTAACGTCTTTTCCATTGCAGTACTCAGACTCAGAACGAGTGTATCTGTTACAGTCCCTTCCCTGACAGGACTGAGACTCAGAACAAGGAGTGTCTTTTGGGAAGGTACCTTTATCTCCTTCCGATGAGGAGGAGATTGCAATCTGGTGCTTCTCCATTTCCAGGCTGTGATTGGCTGTTTCCATCAGAGTGGGGGGACATGGTGTGGCCCACCCTTCTTTCCTCCTGTGGAACTTATTTGCATAGTCCAAACACACATTTAGAAAAGTGTCACTAAAGCTTTACAAATGCATTATTCATTTTCCAAACCACCACCAGAATACATTTGGCAATGTTACGAACACATTAAGTCCAAGCATGATGGAAGAAGACTGAACTGTCATGCATGCATTAATTTGTCCATTAACAGCTGAGTTTGTGTAAGATGTTGCACTACACGTCACTGTCACTGAGAATACTTATTTATCTGAATAAGTATAAGATGTGTGTGTTGTAGTTTGCATCAGTTTAAGGGTTGAGAACATAGTTATGAATGGATTTGGATGGAACTCTGTGATCTCTCTCTTTGTTTCACCCACTGCTGCTGCGTCCAAAGGTCCTAAGGAATTTTTATGGCGGTCACAGGCCAAAACCTGAGGAATCACCTGAGCAGTCTGTTGGTGGGTGAAAGGCAGAAACTGCATTTTGACCAATAGGAAGTCCTGTCCTTCCTGGGATTTGTACCAAAGGTCTACTTATTGCCCTCTAAGAGGTGTCTGGCTGTTGTCCTGGCATCTTTATCTGATGGCGTTGGACAGTTTGCTTATGTTAGTCCACCAAGATCCAATCAAAATGTTGCAAACCATTGTCACTATAGTGGTCAGAGAGGGGCCCCGCCATAAACTGGGCCCTGGAATGCGCTGACCACTACACCAGGCTTCACAGCTGTAAAAGAGTGGTAATGCAAACAGCTTTGTATTGTAACTTTAGTAAGCAATTGAAGGTGCTTATTTTGAGAGACCTTACGTTGAAGTCTGCCAAAGGCTACAGAGGCTTGCTTTATCCGATTTTCAATTTCGTCATTGAGATTGCAGTCCTCTGATACAATGCAGCCCAGATACTTAAAGGATGGTACTATTGTAAGTGGTTGTTTTTCTATTGTAAAAACAGGCATAGTGGGTGGAGGGCTGAGCTTCCATTGACATATCACTTCAGTTTTAGTAGTATTGACTGACAAACCTAATCTGCTGAATGTCTACACAACAGCAACAAGGATAGTTTACAGGTCTTCTGGTGTATGTGCCAAAAGCACGCAGTCATCGGCATACTGCAACTCAACCTGCATTGCTGAGACCTTGGTAGAGGCCTGGAACCTTCGGATATTAAATAGGTTTCCATCCAGCCTGAAGTCAACAGTGATTCCACTGCTGCCTTCAAGTTTATCATGCAGGAGCTTTGTGACACATAGGAGGTAGATCAGTACTCAGACTCAGAACGAGTGTATCTGTTACAGTCCCTTCCCTGACAGGACTGAGACTCAGAACAAGGAGTGTCTTTTGGGAAGGTACCTTTATCTCCTTCCGATGAGGAGGAGATTGCAATCTGGTGCTTCTCCATTTCCAGGCTGTGATTGGCTGTTTCCATCAGAGTGGGGGGACATGGTGTGGCCCACCCTTCTTTCCTCCTGTGGAACTTATTTGCATAGTCCAAACACACATTTAGAAAAGTGTCACTAAAGCTTTACAAATGCATTATTCATTTTCCAAACCACAACCAGAATACATTTGGCAATGTTACGAACACATTAAGTCCAAGCATGATGGAAGAAGACTGAACTGTCAT